ACTACTACGACTACCACTACTACTACTACTACTACTACTGCACAAATTTCTACTACTACTACTACTACTATTACTACTACTACTACTACTACGACGACGGCGACGACGACGACGACTACTACTACTACTACCACTACTCCTCCTACTACCACTAGTACTACTACGGTCTGATGTTTGGCAAGGGAGATAGAGCAGGCGTGCTGCCAAGGTTGCCTCAGGATGGAGGTTGAGGGTCCAGGCTGTGGTGGTAGAAAACCAAGAAGAAAGCACAGAACTGGAACACGGAACCAGACGGAAGTCTGACCCGAAGAGTCATTCCAAGCTTCCGGCGCAATGCGACAGGAACGGGCCGAGGAGCTTACACGGCGAGCCCAGGACGTTCATTGAAATGCACCTATGCTGGCGGATGTTTGTAATGAGGAGGGAGCATAATGAGAAGCCTTCACGACATGTTTCTGCGAGGAGGATGTCGCAGACAGCTGCAAGTCCCACATGGAGGACTACCGTCTTCACAGCCTTCATGGAATCAGCAGCGTTCAATGATACGAGCTCCTCCTTTGAGTGCAGACAGGTGCTGAAAGCCACTGGGTCAAGTTGCTGTGTTGCCTCAGAGCTGGAGGACTTCGTAGGCTTGAAGATGCAAGCAGTGGAAAGCATCCAGGCCGAACTCTCAGTCAGGGCTCCGAAAACTTGGGACTTTCCGCCTGGGACTTCGCCAGGAAGACGTGCGGGTTTCCGTCCAGACGACGGTCTCCACAATGGAAGAGGTCCAGGGCCGAGCCAGAAAGCGCTCGCAGCTTATCGTGATCGAAGTGATGTCCGACGGCAAGCTTAAGCTTGATGAGAGTTCAAGTGGAAGTTCCAAGCTCCATGGACTTCTCGAGTGCGACATGGCAACGTCTGAGAGCAAATTGCAGCAGGGGCTTGATGTTACCATTTCTTTTTGAGTTCATCAGATGTGGATGCACAGGACACTCTCCTTGCCGGGTCAACGACATCATAGTCGAAACTGTTTGTGCTGTGTGTGTTCTGCAAGCGCTGTATGTGGACATAGCTGTCTTATCGGTGCCTTTTGCATGTTGAAAGTCGTTACGTTCTTGTCCGTAGTGACCTCGGCACGGAAGTTCTCACGTACATACCGTATGTGCTGAAATCGTGCGTTCCCAGCTCGTACGTTCTGAGAGGCATGATGCAGGTGCGTACATGAGGTACGCTTTGCACCTTGAATCCGCGGTTTTTCAACGTTCGGTATTTGGATCTCGGGCACACGTGCGTTTCCGATCCGTGGGAAAAAGCACAAGCCTGCGCGTTGCTTTCGTCGTGGGGTGAAATCTGAGCGGCTTACAGCAGCACTCCAAAGGCCACGCAGGCAGTTGCCGCTCGCTGCCGGGCTGGGGAGCTCCTGGCTGAGCAGGCAGAGGTCAGGGGCCGTGCTCACAAGGTTCTGCTTGCCCAGTGTCTACTGCACACTCTGTGGAGATGATCCGAGTGCAATCAGCCGGCCCATAAGCCCTTTGTCAGGAACAAGGCCTAACGTCAATTGCATTCCTATTAACCCTGCAGCGGAATGTGGCCGGAAGCAGTGCCGAGGGCGAGTCCTCTGCTGCAGCCCAGAATGCCCGGAATGCGCAGGCTCCGGGATGTAGTCACGGGCACGCGCTTGTGTTTGCACGTGCCAGAAGTATGCAGTGCGCACGCTGCCTCCAGACCATGTGCCCAAATGTTTCTGGCGGTGACTCCAAGTAAATGATGCCATGCCTCGCTCCTAGCTCCACGCTGCACGCTTGCATCCTTTGATAGAGGGCTTAATGGTTTAGCTGAGAGGGGGGGAATCTTTGTGTTATGCTGTGCGCAGGCAAAGGTAGATGAAAGCATGATGCCACAACCACCATCTACACTAGGCAACCAAAGCATTTGAATCTTTAAATCTGCACATGCTCTCGGCGGAGCGTAGACGATCAACCCTCAAGCATGATGAGCATGATGTTGGCTTGATTTGGCTTGCACGGACTTTCAAATCATAAAAAACCTAAATACGGTGGGCTGCCCGAAATAGAGCTGCTTGCAATGTGGAGTTCTGCTTGAAGAGCAGCAAAGGATGCTCCAGTTGTCTCAGCCTGCGCCTCGGATATCTAGTTCAAGAATCTATGAAGGCATGAGGGGAAGGTGACCAGCGATCTCAATGTCGCCGAAATGCAGGTCACATCCACCGTACCTCAGCCTTGGTTTGCTTGAAAGTTATCCATTTTGGCCGGAAGGGTAGTTGCTACCCGACCCGGAACCCTGCGGAATCTGGCTTCCCTGCTTCTACGTCCCTGCGCCAGATCTTCATCTTCACTGTAAAGGTCTTCCCCTTGCTGGTTTCACTCAGGCATGGAAGACGACGCGAGCAGAGTGCGGCAGCTGACGCTTTCAGTCCCTCGAATCGAGGCGATGCGGTCCTCTGAACTCGTGCAGATCGCCCAGACAGTTGAAAACGACTTCCACTACTAGTAACCTACCGCCCCCAATCTCCGTAGCAAGACAAGCATTGATTCCGAGAGCTCTGCAGGTCAAAACCTACCGCCGAGTTTGCACGTACGCCGTCTTTCCGGCCAAAGTTGCACACCCAGAATCGCACGAAAGGATGACTTAGGCTGCACGCTGAAGAGACGGCCAAATTAGAATCAGTTGGCATTGATGCATGCAGAGTCTCAAATCAACCCAACGTGCGAATGGCTGAAGAAGGTACTCGAACAGCATTCAGTTCTTGGAACACGAGGGTCTGGCAATTGCCTTAGCCAGGACGGTCAGCGCAAGCCGGCGCACTTCGTCTACCATGTGCAGTGCAATTGGTCAGGCATGCAGAGGCGGGACGTTGAGCAACTATGCAATGGGAGTGAAGTTGGGAAATCCTGGACTAGAAGCTGCAGCTTCAGCCCGTTGCGACGTAGCGCTGGTTTTCAGCGAGCCATGCACCAGAACGCCAGTCTTATGTCGCTGTCCGTGCCCCTCTGGACAGGCCCGGCTTAGAGTTCGGCTCCAATGCTGATCTGCTTTCTCAAGCGCCTTGGACCATGTCTAGACTCGGTGTGGCAAGAGCCTAGAGCCGGGAGCGCTTGGTTGAGCCGTTGAAGCAAAGGAGCGGGGCGACTCCTGCTGGTGGTGGCCTGAGCCCTTTAGAAGGTTGACATGTGTCGGAGACTCGGACCGAGGTGGGATTCCTTGCCAGCCTGCTACACCATCAAGAGAAAGTGGGCAGACCTTCACAGGCATTCGGCATTTAGCGCTGCTTTCACGGCGGTGACTTTAATATAAAGACTCGAAGACAGCTCATCCAGGCTACACAGCTTGGTGGATTCTGAGCTGGCCTTTGACAAAACTGGAGGCTTCCGCCGCGTGAAGGCAATCGCTTGTTGTTTGTGATGTGCTCTATCTCTTTCAGAGTCTTTCAGCATATTTGCCACTCTGCAGACACGCATGCCTCCGCTGCCGGAAGCTGGAGTGCGATCCTGAGTCGCAGGGCCTCCAGAGATAGCCCGCCCGCTTCCGGATCTGGGGATCGCCCAATGCCTTGAGGATCTGAACGACTTTCTGGTGACTCTGGCAGCCACGGGTGATGCAGCTTGGTTGCAGGTATGTTGAAGATGCATGTCTTGCAGCTCCTTGATCGGACATCGGCACGGCCTAGGTTCTGGCACTGAGCCGTCAGTGTCTCAGTGTTTCGATTCCGAAGCTGTCTCTTTCTGTTTGTCTGTGTGCCTGTCCGTCTGTCTGTGTCTCTTCCCTTTCTCGCACTCTTCCCTTTCCATGTCTCCCTCCCTCGCCCCTCCGAGGTCGGACATCGGGCAATCAGTCAGAAGCCAGAGGTTCATTCCGCTGCTTTTATGTGCAGTGGAGTGATTAGGTTTCTCGGGAAATGCAATCTTTGATTCTCCATTCCACCTTCACAGGGGCACATGGGGAGCTGACTTGATGTAGACGTGTGACAGGCGCCTTTGATGAGCTTAACCTGCTCCACACGATCTACGTCGAGAATCGCCGGTCAGCTCAGATCAATTCCGAGAAGCTCCTCAAGGGCCCATATAGCAAAGAGTATCCAATTTTAGCTAGGCAGCAAGGCTTGCTAGGCCGCAACAGGCCCAAACTAAAAACCCCTAAACCCTAAAGCCCCAAAGCCAGAAGGCCCTAATTCAAATCCTGTGTTCCGGGCCTCTTCCGAGGCCTGGGCCCATACTTCGCAGAGTTGAACAAGGCCAGGAGAGTCCTGCAGCAAGGAGCGGCCAAAAATCCCATTCGCTTGAAAGCTCTGCGATATCGGACGAACCGCAACGGGAAGGAGTTGATTTAACTTGGCTGCGATTGGGATTCTGATGTTTGCTTCAATGGTGCGCGGCAGCGAGCTGCTTCTGCTAGAGTAGGTAAGCTGGCACACGGAGCTACCTGTACGATCTTGAATGCTAGCCACAGCAAAGGGAAGGGTTTCTGCTGTGCCAGGCGAGAGGGGTCTGGCAGAGAGATGCAGAGAGCATGATAACTATTCGCTTTGGTATCGGCCCTTTCCCAACTATCAGAGATTATCGTCAGACCCGATGTCAGTGTGAGGTCTTGGCTGAAATTCCCTGGCAGCTTCTTCAGGCTTTGACCGCTTGCTTGGACTGGTGATAGCAAGCTCGGGGTGCTGGGGCTTGCAGCTCGTGAGTGTGCAATGCGGAGTCGAAGCACTCGCTTTCAGAAATGCGCGGGTTCCCCAGCCACCTCCCATGGCAGGACTGCCTCCCGTTGAGAAACTTCGCAACAAGCGGCGTGAGCTGCCGGCCAAGGCAGAGAGTAGGGTCATTGCTAACCTATCGGGGATGCAGCGGGATGCAGAATGCCTCACAATGCCGGCAGACACTTCCGCAGAACTGTGAAGGGCGGGCAGCAGAGGCAACACCTTCTATGGCAAAGGACGTCGGCTCGTGAGACACGGCATAGGCGGAACATGGTGGATCTGCTTTTTGGGTGAGCTTAGTCGGCTCCTTTTGCCAGGACCCTTCGTCTTGGAGCCCAGCTTCTACCATGCGGCGAGCAAGAAGGAGCTTGGGCCCCGGCAGGGGATGTGTGAAATCTTTGGAGCCCAGAGCGGAGCAGCTGTGCTCCGTAAAACCGGAGCAGTTTGAGTGATATTAGGACTCTTTGAGTGCAAGCCACAGGCTGCAGCGATGCCGAGAGGCGCGCGAAGCGAAGACGAAGGCCAAGGAAGTCCCTGCGCCAGGCCGCCTGAGGAAACTAGTTGCATAGCACGGGCTTCCCTTAAGAGCAGAGTTGTCGTGCTCAAGGCACAGAGAAGCCCAAGAAGTTGCGGCGGGAGCCTTCTGGCAGGTGCCGGGCTCACCGGGCGCTTCAAAATTCTGCGACCCACCTTTCAAACAGCTGGGCCGTTTCCGTTTTGGAACCATTTGGAACCTCAATGGCCTTCATGCAGGTTGGACAGCCAATCCTTGGCCAGTCCTGCCAGTCCGGCCAGCCCTGCCAGCCCATCTTCTCGAAGGATGTCCCGGAGGCTGTCGCATCAAGGCCGCCAGTGCCAACATGTGCCAAGGGAGCCAGAGCACGGTGTAGCAGAGAGGCAGCCGCACGATGCTCTCCAAGTCCAACTCATTGCCGCTGTTAGAGGCAGAGGCCCGACAACTTGTCAAGCAGTGTGCCAACGAAACGAACTGCAACTGCTTCGTCGCGAAGCTGCAGGGTTGCGAAGCGTTTCACGGACGGTTGAATCACTGAAGCTCCCTGAAGTTCGAAGATCCGATGTCACGAGAGTCGCCAGAGCTCCCGCCTCAGGAACTAGACTCTGGACTTCGTGTCACCTCGCATATCGCACGTAGCTCGACGGCATTCGAGTGGTGTGGTAGCAGTCGGAAGCCCAGGTTCAGCTGGGACGAGCTTCAAAGCTTGGAGGAAAAGCTTGCGTACTGGAAGAACAGGGGAGCTGTTGCAGTTGTGGGCGTCGTCTTTTCGCTGCAAATGTTCTGGAGGACAGCAAGAGTCAAGAAAGGCCTTGGTTGTAGCTGGCATCTGCAAGCCGCAAGCATCTCTGGTATGCGTGCTTCTCGATTGGCAGGGCTGTAGCCCGTCAGAGCATGCAGTTGCATCATGACTACTTGACGAGGCTTGCATGCTCCCATTACAGTTTCTTTGCCCTTCGAATGGGCAAGAAGGCCTGCCTGCCGGGGAGCTGTGCGGAAAGCATCTGGCAGCAGGAAGTGCGCTCAGAGCAGCAAAACTGGTTGAGACCTGCACCAGGATTTGGCTCCCTGCGAGAGGGACTACTGGAAGAGGATGGCCCTAAAGGCAGTGCGGCTTCGAAACTGGCTTTGGTTTCTGGATGTTACCGGCCTGTGACGTACCTGGCCAGAGGAGAAGCGAGAACTGGGGCGCCGAGCACAACTCCTGCCCCAGGAACTGCTGGCACCCCCCCGCTCCAGGCAGGGAGCTGCTGCACCCGGGAGCCGTGTGGTCGGAGTGCAGCCAGCCGCCAGGCCGATCGACGACTTGCCGGACGAAACGTCGACGTAAGCTCCCAAGTCGAAGTTGTTCGAAATTGCAGGGGCTCTTTTTCTGAGATGTGCGACAGTCGCAAGATCGGAGCAAAGCTTCTTGTAATGGTAACTAGTGCACCGATGCCCGTGCTCATGGCCTCAGCACTAAGCTAAGTCAGCTGCATCTCCGGCTCCTCGGCCCCTCCTTTCTCTCAACTCTTGCCTTCCTGACTTTAGTTATGCTACTTTTGCCAGGTTCAGCAGCCGGAGCTTTTGGCTGAGCACTCCGGATGCGTCCGGGTCCTTGCTACTCTCGCTGTTCTCAGAACGTGCTCGAAAGCGGCCTCGTCCATGATGGACTTTCATCCAGCAGCTCACAACAATTAAGCATATGTCTGCAAGTATGCAAGGCATGTTGAGGGAGGTTGGGGTATTGCAAACGATTGATTTGAAAACATGGCTCTGATTCCGGAATCCCGAAGCCCTTGGCTGAGCAGCTCAAAGCCAATGCCTTGTCCGTCGGGGAGATGTCTTACGGCGCACGACATCACAGAACAGCGCATGTTTGTAGCTGGTTTGTCCTGCCTACTGGATGCGACCATCCCATCAGCTGAGGCTATCGGCGAGCCAATCTGTCGAGCGCCTGCCGGCGTTGCCACCGCCGGGCTTCAACGAGCCTTTTCGAGAGGCCTGCGAGCAGTAGTAGTAGTAGTAGTAGTAGTAGTAGTAGGAGCAGCAGCCGCAGCAGCAGCAGCAGCAGCAGCAGCAGCAGTACGAGTGATAGCAGCATCTCATAGCATTGGTAACAGTGATGATAGCCGCAGCAGCCGCAGCAACAGCAGGAGGAGGAGGAGGAGGAGTAGCAGTGGTGTTTAACAGCACTCAGAGCAACAATCTTGCCAGTCATCGGAGCAGTGCTCGGAAGAATACAACGAATATGCCTACGCAGGAATCAGAAGTGGAACCATTTCGTGCAGTCATCATACTGCTAATACTAAGGCCAATTCCCCAATGACAGCTGAAGTGTTATTTCAACATCAGTGTGATGATGTTGTTGCTGTCGATGTTGATCATGGGATCACGGCAGGCAGTGATGATGATAGCAGCAGTCATACTGGTGATGATAGTGGGAGCCATCACATGGCCCGTTCTCGTGCTAGCCAGGTCAGCAATAAATGTTGAACATTTTCATGATCCTCTTCGCATATAGCCACGCTCAAGAGAATGATCTTCATAAGTGTGAGAGAACTGAGATACCTGTAGCATTACTGCACATTAGCGCGGATCATCGGCGCTATGGTCACCGAAATGATTGGCGAGGGCACGACCAGTAAGCGCGGCTATGAATACTCATCAGCATGAACACCGTGGGTGTGCAACCAAGAGTCGAGACGCGAAAGCCTGGTGTCAGCACTCTGGGTCAAGGATTCGTTCTTGTTGTTTCGGTTTAGAGACCAGCTGTGCCTCCGTTTCCATGAGCACGTCTGATGCAGGGATCTGCGGGAACCAAGAGGAGCAGGCGGGCAGAAGCTCTGGCAGCAGCGTTGCAACACCAGCTAGGCGTTGCGCAGAGATGGACAGCTTGTACCGGTGTCATTAGAGTCATTACCTGTGATAACCATTGACGTGCTTTCTTGAAAGTCAGGCCAGTGTCTGAGCAGAAGTCGTACGGTGTGGCAGCACGCCCAGAAGCGCAAACATGTTCTGAAGCAGGTGGTACAACGTGCAAGGTGGAATACGCGGTTAGAGCTTGATAAACGGAGTCGCACATCTCCAGTGGCTGCTGCAAAGCCTTGCAATTCTTTCTGCTCAGGGCCTTGCCTCCCTCATGATGAAGCCTGCAGAGAGGACGGAACACGGGGAGGCCCAGATCATCAGCTTTGACGTCAATTCACCCTTTTTCGAAGCTGTCAATCTTATCAGAGCTGCTTGGTGGGGCGCCAAAGTCGCATGCTGACAGGTGGTGATGCGCGATCTCTGCGAGGGCTTTCAGGTCTGCCTCCTCGGCGAACCAGCCCCGCAGGCCGGGAGAGCAGAAACCTGTTTCGTGAATGGGTCAACATTTTACTCTTGCCTGAAGCTCCAAGGGTCAATCCACGGCCAGGTGCCGCGAAGTATGCGCCTCAAGGAGCCCATGAAGATCTTCCGTCTTCCTGGCCGAGAGGAGACTATGAAGGCCCTGTGCGAATTCGAACAAATGCAGATGAAGGAGGCTAGAGTCAGAGTGATGGTGCCACAAGAAGTTCAGTTACGGATCAATTGACACAGCGCGGGTGAAGTACTAGAGCCCTGGCGCCTGTTGTCGAAGGCTGACCCAATCTTTGTGTGACTGACTCTGCATTTCTTGGTGCGCTTGAAAGAGTGGCCCAACCAGGTGTACCGAGTATACTGCAACTTGCTGCAGTCCGAAGGCACTCTCCGAAGCTTCCACGACGTTGTTTGCGGCATTTCAGTACTTGCCAACAGTTGGCTAGCTTATCCCAAGTTTCCCGACAGCATTCGGAAGTGGCACGAAGTGGGACTTGCAGTGCTTACACGGTCAGGGACAGCAAAAGCTCTGTTCGGAAAGCTTGTGTTTGTCGCAGGGGTGGATGCTGGTGGTGGGCTGCTTCCTGAGCTTCCGCCCGACAAGGACCCGCACCGTGAGCGTGTACTGTTTGATCCGCGTGCACTGCATGCGTAGCCTCTCCAAGGAACTGCACAGCACTCGCCCAACTCATAGCTTGGCTTGACAGAGGTGATGAAATGCCTTCGCCAGGTTGTACCACTTTGTACCACTGTCTACTAGTTCCTCTTGTCTTGGTGTGGCTTTGGGTGTCGGCGACCTGTCCCTCTCTTCCAGTTCCGTTTCTTTCCGACATCTGCAAGCATCAAATGCTCCACTATGCTTTACTCGCAGCCAGTTCAGCGGGTACTTGTTGTCTTCTGTGGAATAGCTTCGGCTGCTGCGACCTGCAAGCTGGACTTAGCATACCAGGCTCTGATCATGGCAGGCTGACCCATTTTTTTGTCTGGTAGCTTCTATGCGTGCTTTTTGTTTCGAGGACGGCAAGAAGGCCAACTTGCACGAGACGCGGGCATTCCACCATCCTTCGCTGAAGAAGGCCAACGAGCAGGCCATTCTTGCGGAGTCTGCGCGACCGCTTTCGGCACCAATCACTTAAGGAGCTCGCACGGATGCCACCGACTGCAGCAGGATCTTTTGCATGGCTATCCGACGTCGCAACGAGGTATTAGTATTGCCCACACCTCTCACAACCAGTTTCCTGCAGGGCAGCTCGTCTTGGGTCATGTGACCTAACCGATACAACTTTCGCGACCTGTTTAAGCGATCACGACACCGTCGGTCTCTTCTGTCTTCTGATCCGCAGTGGAGTGTAGCTGCATGAAATGTGAGGACTAGGCTTTGCTTGTTCCTGCTCCGAATGTTCCGTTCAGCAGCTTTGTGCTCTGCCAAAGCGCATTTCATGTTGGAAGCCTACAGCCCCTAAACCCTCTTCATTGCATCTAAATCCTATGCCTTGGCAAGAAGACATTAGCAACATGCAGCAATCCTAGAGCCTTAATTAGGCCCTGAACCCACGGGGAACCCTCCCGGCCTTGCGGGCCTTCCCGGTTTCAGGCCCGCCGCCGGCAGCGCCGTAACGGGCAGCTCACTGAGGCGCGACTTCAGCTGGATAGCCTCATATGTACATATGTATATATTTACATATACATACATATATGTGTGTATGTGTGTGTATGTTAAGCAAGTAAGTTAGTAAGTGAGTAGGTAGGCAAGTAAGCAAGTAAGGTAGTCCACTAACAGCTGTTCAAGTCTCATAAGGTAATTTCACTGAACCAACGTGTTGTTTCACACCTGGGCGTGCACCCGCCCAACCCTCACTATCCCCCAAGCCTGACACAGTGACAAGGGCATCCACGCTTGCTGTTCAGCGAATGCGGTGAGATCAGGAGATTGCTCGGATCTCATGGTCTACTCTCTTGCAGTGGGTGCCTGGCCTGCAAGCATCGGCAGTTCGGATGTTTTTTTCAATCCCTTAAATCACTATTTTTCCTACAGGTTCAGCACTTGGAAGACCTGGCCGCAGACTTCAGGCAAGATGCCCCCAGCAAAGTGGCTGACTTCCTTCCGGTAGGTTGGGGAAGGAATTCCCGTAACGGTTTCGCCATATTGCCATATTGCCTGGCCCTTTAACTTGTGGCAGAATCTTCGTCGCTGCAGGTATCGGTCCGTGACAGCAGCATTGAACCGGGCCCTGCATCAATGGCGGAAGAAGCAGGCGCGGGGGCCCAGAGAGAGCAGTGACGCAGCAGGACTGCCCAAGTACATACACATGGGGGATTATGCTGAGGTTGCTGGTTGTCTGTAGGTTGGAGAAGGCACTGCTTCTGTGAGTAAGTTGCAGATCTCGGGTCAAAACAGTACGATCAGAGGCCACACCGCGTCAGCAGCAAGAGGGCGTGGACCTGTCAATGATCATTCAGTGGACTTGGCCAGCTCCCCGGCACCCAAAGCCTCTGTCGTTGGAGTCCATTGGAGATTCTCGGACTGCCTAGAATGATCGAGCATCCTTCCTAGATTCGGCTTGCAACGGAAGGCCGGACGTGACTGAAGAGAAGATCGCTGACATGATGCTGTGGGCACGATGCTCAAACGCATGCCTTCTGTTCGATTTTGGATGAAAACTTTCACATTCATAGCTGGTCACAGCTCCATCTATGCGGCAGCTGTGCACAGGCATGTCCGTTCTCCTTTTGTGCTTTGAATCCATGCTCAGCGTGCCCCATGCCCGAGCAGTCTCGTCCGTTTCGGCTCTTGCTGGCCCTGGGGCCGTGGGGCCAGTGTCCCAACCTTTTCCTTCAGCTTTGCTGGTACCAAGATCTTCGAGATTGAGCTGAGCAAGTTCAAGCAGCCAACACCACGGCTGATGGATCCACACGACCGTCGGATTCTGGAGGCTGAGAGTGTGCAAACTGTCCTTGCTTCACTGAGAAGAGCTGTGTGTTGTCGTGCTCTGGCAGTGGCTGTTCTTCTTCTGTTCTTCTATGCTGCTACTGCTACTGTGTTGTTCCCGTTGTTCAGAACATGCAGCTGCAGTGTTGCGGATGCATTTGTAGTTGCTGGCACGGAGGCGGGCGAGCGTATGGATGATTCAATGATGTCGCAGCTGAGGCTCTGTTTCGTCGGCTGGACGACAAGAACGTGGGCTCATGCTCTCCGGAGGATGGGCCTCACTTGCAAATCGCCGCCTTTCGCAACGCTTATGACAACCTCCTTGCATGTTGAAAGGACATCGCTGGCAGCAAAGAAGAAGACGAGAACGAAGGGCACAACGTGCCTTAGACGCAAAGTGCTGAGGGACTTCGCTTTGCCCTGTCTGAGCCCAGCATCAGCTCCAACAACATTAACTGGTCTAGTTGCTTGTGGAAGCGGCGCAGGACAAAATGAAGAATATCGTGGACGTCGATACGGTGAAGGCCACATCCGGGGATCCACTTCGACACCCCGACCCGGTTACAGGCTTCGTCCCGTGTCGCCTGTGGAGGCCGTGGTTGGCCAAGAGTGCGTTGAGCTGCTGCCTTTCTTGGAGCTCTGAGCTAAATTGACCGCAGCTGAACATGCCTAATGCACGCGATGACAATGAGAGCCGAGATGCTGCCATCGTTCAAGCGCCCCTGGCCTACTGCATCCATATGAGTTCCACATAACAGCTCAGGCTGATGTGCGAGAGTGGTGTTCGAGCGCATGAGGCTGCCACGGAGGTGCTCTAGCACTCATTGTTGCTGGCTCTGTGTAGCTCCCTCTGTGTCTTCTTGCCGTCGACTAAGTAGGCTCAAGCATTTCTCTGCTCCAATTGCTCCAGAGCTGACCCACGCAAGATGTGACCTCGAGACAGTTTGTGGAGTATTCCTATGTTTCCTCGCAGATGTCAGGGCCTCCTGGGTAGTTTTGACTTTACCACTTCGACTTCCCGCCTGTACGGCCTACCTTGAACTCGAGAGCCTAGCTGACAAACTTTCACGTCCCCGAACAGGGACAGGCGTAGCTGGGGCTTCGAATCGTCTGAATCGCAGCGTGATGTTCTCGTTCAGGCTTTCGCTCGACCGACCTTCGTCGCACCTGCAAACAGCTGTGAACGCTTACGCCAGCCACCCTGTCGGCGACAAACCGGTGCGGGCTCCTCGCTCGTGGCTGTGTGTGATGGTCGCCAAAGGCATCCTGCTGGCTTGACGGCTTAGCAAGCACGGGTGCCCACTCTGTTTAGGTCCAGACATCAAACACTAGGTTTGCGTCCTGGTCAGGTGCTGCTTGATGATGGGCGCAAGCTCGTGCTTCAGTACCGGCGGGCAGCCTGAACCTTGGACACATCACCGTTGCTGTCGGTCGTCGCTTGCCGTCCGCAAGGCCCTTAGAGATATTTCGAACCCGGCGATTTGCACCCTACCGTACTACCGTAGATCCCGGAGGGTGGTCGGTCGAAGCAAAGCGAGGAGACGCGGGAGCGAAGAGCACATAGTGGAGTGGGCAGCAAGAAGCATGCCAAGTCGTGGCCAAATCGCAGACCCAAGCAGCCAGGGATTGTTGAAGACGAGAGGAGGGGAAATCGACGAGGGAACCTTCAGGTGACAGGTCCGGCTAGCAAGCATCCCTATGCTCATCAGATGCCATTGCTGCCAACGGGTGGTTGTTCGTTGCCTTGTGTCTCACCGTCGCTTGTCTTCAGGTCGACAGCAAGGTTTGGGTTTTCGACGGGACGCCTGCAGACGAGGACGCGCCGCAGAGCATTGAACAGATACATGTGGGGGCAAACGTGGGTTGGCGGTGGACAGAAGCCAACATTCCACGGTGGAGGTGCTTCACATCATCATGAGGAATTCGTAGCAGTGCTGTCAGGAACAGCCTCGCCGGGTCGCGAGAGTGTTCGAGGCTCCCGAGATCTGGTAGAGCCTTCGTGCTCCTCTGGTTGAATAAGTCGGCCAAGATCATAGCTTCCTCAGGCTGAGGTCATCCGCTGGAGAGCTCTGGTCAGGAGCTTGATCATCTGCTTGCTTTCCACACGACACAAGCTGTTCCATTTTCCATCGAAGTTGCAGTCAAGCAGTGCAGTAGTGAAGACCACCCCTGAAAGATACGACTGGGACTCGAGAGGATTCACAGCCGCGGGCGGGGGCTCTACGCATTTCGCCGGCCGGTTGATCAAAAATCTAACGAGAAGGTTGGTCAGTCCTCAGCGTTGGAGGTCTTTTTACACCCCACAAGCTCTTGCAGTCCGGACACGCTGGACTTCTCAGTCTCAGCAACATGCAACTGAAAACACGCCAGTGCGAGGTGGCATAGTTTGCAAATACGCGTACTTCTCGTGGAGTCCTTGACTGCTATGACCGTTGTCTTCTGAACCGAAACGGCTCCGTTATGCAGTCTCTCGGGACTGAGGCACAGGCCACACAGCGCGCGGAGGCCCAGGCGGCCCAGGAGGCCTTGCTGGCCCAGCAAAGGAAGGAGAGGGAGAAGCAACAGAAGGAAGCCGGCAACGCCAAAGAGACGCAGGCGACATCTCTGGGGTCAAGTCCATGTTGTGGAAGCTTGCCGAGATCACTTGTGCAGATGTTGTTTGGTGCTTCCCATGCTGATGCTAGGAGGAAGAGGAGGAGCTGGAGCTTCAGATGGTGTCATCAGACAGTGCCCCATGGCCGTGACAAGACATACTACGGCTCCTGCTCGTCTCCTACCGCTGCTGCTGCTGCTGCTACTTCTGTCTTGCTCCACCCACAGCCCATCATACCCTGAACCCTAACCACGTGCTTGGGACGCTAAGGACAGCGAGCCAGAAGAGCAAGCACCGGATTGAAAGAAAAAACCCCGGGAAGATGCAGTAACGTTGCTACATTTTACGATGAATCTTGTTTATTTATTCTCCAGACAATGACAGAAGATCGCTGTTTCACCTTCCAAAGGAAACGTTTGCACGGAATTCGCTTCTACCTCCGGTGTGGCTCCATCGTCCTGGGCCATGCCGTGTTCTCGTCCAGAAAAAGATCAGCGTAGTGTCATTCTCAGACCAGAACAACAGATCGAAGCTCTGAGTCGCCTATTTGGTTAGGGTATGCTGGGTTATTTTAGGGCGATTCGGGAATAGAAGTCGCATGTTTTCCCTTGCAGGAGCTCGCTGCTGACTTGCAACAATCACTGGGGAGTTCACGGACTGAGTGGGATGAGGCAAGAATTTCACGCTGCAGAAGAGAGGATTTGCCAACCGTGCCCCTTGTTTCCGCATCAGGAAAGGCTTAGAGTTAGACTGCAGTACTCGGGAGTCTACGACGTGCTGGCAGATGCGTTCGGAGCTGCACGCCTTCGTTGACGAGCAGCGAGTTTTCTGTGGGTTCCTGGACACAGAGCAAAGGCGGGAGCAAGTTAAGATTGGAAGCATTTTTTCGGATTCAAGCATTTCAGTCCAGGCATCGGCCAAGAGCTACATGCCCTGAGCACCTGCATGATGCATATAATTTGACACCTCATGCTTGCATCCCCGCACCTCGCGCTGTCGCCGTGTCGCTACGAATCCCTGCAAGTTTTGTGTCCTACCATTGCAGGTCTTATCACGACCTCATACGACAGGAGGCTGGTACACTTTGAAGCTTGACTCGTGGTTTGCTACAAGTTTGTGGACTGGTTGTGAGCATTCCAGGTGACATCTCTCTCACGCTTGGTTGATGCAAGCCTTCGCAGCTTGGACTGTAGAGTACAATGCAATGGAAGTTACCCTTAGCCCATTGGGGCATTCCAGTTGGCTGTGGCAGGTCATTCGCTTGTGTGCCATGCGGTGTTGTATCCAAGATGTGTTCGCATGCACGTGGTGAGCGCGTTTGTGAGCCATGGCAGTTGACTTGCAAGATCTTGCAAGTGCAAGCAGCGGCATGCGCAGAGGGTCAGACAAGCCAGTGAGGCGAAGCGTCGGATTTCCAGGGGGTATTCCGGGGTTGCACTGTTTTGTACGACGTGATTCCATCTGCGCAGCATAGCTTTCTTCTGAGGCATCGATCCCGGCCTCGATCCTGCGATGGGGTCGCCAACGTCACGGCCCACATCCGTTCAGGCCCTTCCGGGCGGCAGCTGCAGTTCTGGGAAGCTCATGTGTGCTTGTTTTCTGCAGGTTGTAAAGCCAGTGGAGCCATCGGCGTCGATGGCACAAACTGCAAGGCTCGCACTTCACCAAAAAGCTTTCAAAGGATGTGTTTTCACAAGAGAAGAAGCTTGGAGGAGTCCTTGACAGAGTGGCGGCACAGCTGGCCTTCACACGCCGTGCTGGATCTGCACCTGCGTTCACAGTGGGGCAAAGCAGTGCCCTTTGTGCAGCAAAGACCTGCAGACTGCAGGAAGAAACTCGAGCAATATTAAAGGAATTGAAGTGTCACTTCCTGCAATCATCTCTTAGGGGTTCTGGTTGACAAAGTGTGAGCTGGCCGCACCAGCAGACATCCTGCAACCAACGCATGGGTTGCCACTGCAGCTGGGGTCGCGAGTGGGCTACGCAGAAAAGGGGTTGTCGCTGCAAAGTGTCTGCACATCCCAATATGTGCCATATGTGCCTGGGGATACAAGTCAGTGAGCTGATTGGAGAGCTACTCGTTCAGGAAGGCAACAAATTTGGGAGTGGTGTCGCAGTTTGTCTATCAAGCAGCATGAACATGATGCATGCTTCTAACTAACTAGTATTAACTAGGCCGGAGCAGGTTTGCTGTCAAAGATCCGCGAGAATCTTTACATCAGGTTCGCTGTAGCATGTCCAAAAGGAATGCGTTTAGCCGGCAGTTCGGCTGGCCGACCATGAGTGTGAGCACAGACTTTGAGCATTGGCTGCTCAGAATCATTGATCTGTATCTCTCAGCTATTGGGCCAGATACTTCAGACTCTCAGACTCCTCGGGGGGACCTGGGGGGCCATAGACTCGGCTCATAGCCATGGTCCTTCACTGCGGTCTGAGGCTTCTGAGGGCCGCCTGAAGTCTAGACCTGGCCAAAGATTAGAAGTGAAGACCATATAATATAACATAACATAACATAACATAATATAATATTATATAATATATCATACTATATTATATTATAGTATATTAATACCGAATCAGGGAGGGATTGAAGACTCTGGCATCTTCCACTGATCAGAATTTCTCACAATATCGGTTTACGGTTGGGGTTTAGGGTCTGCCGGTCTAGGCTTGTGTCCGGCTTTTTGTTGTTGCGTTTGCATTGCATGCTCTCTCGACAGGAAAGTGCTTCCTATACGAATACAAACAGGCGAGGAGCATGACGAAGACCTATGAAGAGGCAGAGGAGGAGGAGAAAGCTGCGGCGCAACCGGTGCCATTCTGAGCAGAAGTTTTTCGGCAAGGTCTACGTCGAAATTCGTTTCCAGCCCTTATCCACAGCATTTTCTTGTATGGGCTTTTGTCGGGGTCGAGAGTCTTTGGCAGTTGACTGCGCGAGATTCCAACCAAGTTTGTAGTTCGTGGACGGCATCGTAGGACTTCCTCGATGTCAGGACTCGTTACAGTTGCTTACCTCTTGCTGCCATTGTAGGATTCTCGATTTCGTGCTCCTCTTGCGGCATTAGGGTTTACCAGCTGTTCGATACACTGGATTTGCGATTAAATTTCGCTGGTCTCTCCTTGAGGGTCTCTCCGGGGGCAATTCCGGGTTTCGGGTTCTCGTGTCCACCCCCTTTGGGGTCACGATTGTTTTCCTGTGACACTCCAGAACTTCCGCTTCGGATGTTATCGCTCTCTTACAAGGTATGCCAATAGCCACTCGATTGGGGTTGACGGTGTGCCACATGCCACTCTCCAATTTGGGGTTAGCCGCTCTTTGCTGCTTTTCGGGGTTTCGATCTTGCAACTTTCCAGTGCTTGACCACCTAGCAGGCAGGTTCGGGAACAGGACTTTGTACGCAGTCTTCGGGGCGATGTCTGGGGCCAGGCCGTTGCACGGATGATTGCACGATTTCGCAGTTGCCTGAAAATGATTGCTTGATTTGTCTGTTTCGGTTCCCCCGCTCAAACAGCGCATGAATGGGTGTTGCGATGTTTCCCAGTGCTTTTTTGCAGGGTTGCACCTTTTTTTGAGGGGGGTTGATGACGGTTGGGGGCGGGGGGTGGGGGTAGTGACGTCCATGTCCGGCCTCCTTTTTCAGTGGCGCCTTTGGCCAAGCGGTTCTCGAGTGAGAAGTACGATTCTCGTTGCTGTCGTGTCCACATCTCTGACGCCGTGTCCGAGGTGACGAGCTCAAAATGTTAGCATGCTCTCGCAATCCCGTGCTATTCATGTCTGCATTAGCCAACCGACATCCGGCGGCTGATGTGTTTGAAGTGCAAGACTCAATGAGGATATACCTGACCTTCCTGAGACTTTCTTTCCTGGAGAAAGACTTGAAATGCAAAATGCCGGCAACACCGAATCAAAATGAGTGATCTCCAGACCTTTTTGTGACTTTGTGGGCTGCCGAGGTGGTGCCCAGCATCAATATACCCATCCCGGGTGCGGAGCCTGCCATTGGACCACAGGCGCGTACTTCGTCTTTTCTAGGCTGTTGTGGTTCTCCCCTGCGCCACTATGTAGCCTTGTCCAACCGGAATCAACTGCAGCAGGTAAACGGTGAGGTACTCGCAAACAAATGGTGGAAGCATTTAGTGATTTTGTTCAAGTTGCGGTTTGGCCGAGGGGCTAGAGGTAGACATAAGATGCAGCCTTCCAGCGGTGAAGCGATGCCAGCACATTCGTGCTAAAGACGACGTCAGCTAGTAACTGGGAACCTGCTCCTGAGAACTTTAGCAGCTATGGGAGTGCTGTCGTAGTTGGTGCCGGGCCGACCTGCCACAGTGGCGGCTCCTGGTGCCCAGGTAAACTCCCTGAGACCATCCTCGGCAAGGTGCAAGCTTTTTGACAGCTGGTGGGACTGGTTCCAAGGGAGAACTGCATCGAACATAAAAGCAAAAGCCATCAAGATTCTGGGATCGGATGGTCCAGGGTTTATCTCCCACAGGTTGGTGAAGCAGTGCCAACAACGAGGCAAAATCCTGTTCCTAAGCCCAGAAGCAGATACACAGACCACGAAGTACGCGGCTGCATGATGCAGTTTCCGATCTTCTTCCTGTAGTCCACAGCCCGGCAGTATCGGCTCAAGTCCCCACTCCTCCTGAGGTTCCCATCAGAGCTCTGTTGGACCAAAACCGTATCGCCATCTTGCAGACCGAGTTACCTGCATAGATGGCTGAGTAGATAAGTTGTTCCACGCCTCCGAACGTAGAGCGCTTGCTCTGACCCCATGCGGGCCTGGTTATCGCTGGAAGCGCTTTGCGCACTAGCGCTGGCAGACTTGGGTGCAGCGCGCACCTACCACACGCATCTCGAATCCTCGGCATCCCGTAGAGTAGAGAAACTGTTAACTTCGAGGAGAGACTCCGCCACTGCCACGTGTGGGCACGCACCTGGTAACCGCATCCTTTCGTATCCTTTCGTTTCAGAACAGCCTATTATCGGGCCACGAGTTTGTGCACGCTTACCAGTCAGTACCGCAGGTTCAACTGAGAGCGGGGAAGCAGATGAGTGTTTGGTGGTAGCAGGCGCAGGCCCGCCTTAGGGCACCAGCACCTCTCCTGAGTAAGCTCCTGCGACAGATCCTGCAAACATGGCGCGCTTCAGGCCAGGTGTGGGGGTACCATAGTTGGACTCCTCGGACTACTTCACATCAAGGCCAGATCAGAGAAACCCTGCAACCAGAAGCTAGCTGCCCCGGTGTAGGATGCAACACTGCCCCATTACCTTCGAGAAGTGGGGGTTCTCCGTTCAGCACTATTCACTAGACTCCGGCTCCATGCAACTTACATCCGGGCACAAGAGCTCTTACTCCGTCCTAGAAAAGCCGGAAAACTGCGCAGAAGAGTTCGCGCTCCGAGGTACCTGGATCTGTCAAGGCGCCCCGGCTTGAGACGGACGGTTGCGCGCCCAGATGGCACGCTTCTCAAGCTGGCACTGGTGGAGAACTGCACCAGCGTAAAGGCACCCGAAGTTGGAACCTTTCCCATGGTGGCCTGTAGCCAGCCCTTGCGTTTCCGACCCATTGAGCGTTGCTGTGGCAGTCGTCGTCGTAGTAGTAGTAGTAGTCGTGGTGGTGGTGGTGGTGGTGGTGGTAGTAGTAGTAGTAGTAGTAGTAGTTTTAGTAGTAGTCGTATGGCAGGCTCCGACAACTTCCAAAATCTCATAGAGTGTCGCAGGCAGTGGCGATGGACATGGACGAGACGCTGATCGGCGAAGTAGACGTTTCGGATCCAGCGCCTTGGCACAGCCAGGCTGTTTTTCAGACATGCATGGGCGTCGGCGGCCCTGCATGGGGAGCAGCAGAAAAGTGGAAATTTCCTTCAAGCATCTTCAAGCGTTGCCTCGGGAAAGTTCAGGACACGCAAGCCAGACTGCTCACCACGGAGTTGGAGGCCGCTTGCAAACCAGTTGGCTCCTTCTCTTTGGCTCTTGAGTCTGGCCGCCCGGCATCCTGCAATGCAATTCGCAAGGTACACGGGCTGACAACCTGGCTCTTCCCAGATGAGGACCTACGCGTCTGGTACAAGCAGATCGACATTTGAGACTCTGCACCTGGAAGCCCAGGACGCTCTAGCCCGATGGCAAGGTCCCTGGAAGCGGGGCGTCCATGCTGACGCCTGTGCACAGCCGGAGGAGTCCGGGTGCGACAAACGTCCCCTCACTCCCCTGATGCCCATTTTTGCGTTTCTCTATTGACTCTGGGCGGGGCTGGCGGCATCGGGTTCTTAGAGCTAGGACCGCCGCTTGTGAAGTCAGATGATTCAGGCCCCCCTATGCCCCTCAGCACAGCAGAAAGGTGTGGACTGCGCAGTGCAGCTAGAGTACTATCCAGCACAACTCACCTTACTACTTACGCGCGAGTGCGGGGAGGCTTCTGTATCGGATAGCAGAAGTTGGATGGATGCAGTATAGGGGACTCCAAACCTGAAGCTAAGTAACACAGCCGGGAAACGTCAGGTAGTATTTTCAGTAAGAGACGTGCCAGCTGACTCAGGACACCCACCTAACGCAAGCCTTCGATAGCCTCTTCAGCAAGCTGCTGCCTGCTGCGCGATCCAGACAGAGGCTTCTACAAGTTGGGGATCTGCGAGACTCGAATGAGGAGGATCCTGCGAGACTTCTTGCACCTTGGCGAAGCAGAAGTAGTACCCAGCAGTTTCGATCTATGGAACTGGCACACTTCGTGTCTTTTCTCCAGATTGACATGTGGCCGTTGTAGCAAGCAGTATAGTCAGTGGTCCAGCGGCACCTAAAGAAACAGATCCTCGCGAGGTGCAGCGGCACGGTCTGCAAGGCATGGTAGCAGCCGGCAGCAGACCGTCTGAATCTCCAGAGACCTGGCGCCAGGGACCGCCACGAAGCGTCGCGCAGTTCAGCTTGGCTGTGTGAGCTTCAGGGTGTAAATTTCAAGAATGGAGTGCGAGTCGATGGAAAGTCTCTGCACTTCGGGCCGGGGTCACAGCAGTCCTGTTTGCTGGTTGGGCCTTTTTCGTGTGCAGTCCTTTGCTCGCTGGGATTGGGGCCGCCTGGACGTGACGTGAGGATGAACCCAGACACAGAAGAATCTGAACTAAAGGAAACTTCCGCACGCGGATTGACGTCCCAGGCAATCGACTTTTCCCTGGAGGGCGGAACTGAGCTTGCCCAGCAGCTTGGTGAGTGGGCGCAGGCGTGACATGCCTCGAAGCAACTTCTTGGCGGATAGACCAGCAGGTATCCCTTGCGGGAACGGATTGTTTGTGGGCATGCTTGTGTTCAAGCACCGGTGTTTCTTTGACAGGTGGACGTGCTGCGCATGGACCAGGGCTTGCCAGGTTCCTGCATGCTGTTGAGAGGTTTGACGCTTGGTCCGCATTCCAAGATGTTGGGTGCCTCAAGTTTGTCATCGCGATGCCCGAGTCGTGAGGCTCATCGGCGGCCTCTCCGCTCGCATGATTCTCAGCTTCACCAACAGTCAATTCCCACCTCCGCTGCGCTACGTGGGCCTCGCCGAGGAGCTCCCTGAGTCGCTGCAAGGTTGTGCTTTTGGCCGTCTTTCGTATCGCTTTTGTTCACACACTCTGACTAGTTGCCCTGCCGGCACGCTTCCAGACTTGGAAGAATCAGCACCAACCGAGGTTCCCTGAGTTACCTGCAAGATATTCTCGAGAGAGAGGGGTTTCGACTCCAACTACTATCGGGGCCATATGCAGCCTTCGTGCACGACATCCTGCTGGGAACGCTGAACGCTGAAGGGCTTGCCCGTGATGTCGATGAGTTTGCTCCTCGAGCTGGAAAACACATCTACTTTTCGGTGCATCTCGCTGTTGTGCGCTTGCAGGTTTTTCTGTGGATGTCTGTATCTATCACTTAATCTCTCGGTTAACGCAATTAGGAATGCTATCGATCCAGCCGCATTTGGGGCTTTGAACCTGATTTTCCAATAGAAGTGGTGCGAGACTGGTTCTTCGGCATCGCGAGCTCGCGTGCTGCGTCACAGGCCAGGCAACCGGAGTTTCTTCTGCCCTCATGGTGCCGGATGCCGAAGCATGTCGCTATTGAGCTTGTGTAGCAGACCATCCCTGCAGGAGGTTCTCAGCCGCAGTTTCGGGAATGTGTCTCAACTGGTTGGCCACCTACCGATGGAGAGGAAGCCTGGATACCTTTTGTATCTCTAGCGGCAGCAACTGGCAGACTATGGCCAGCGAATGGTGGTCCACCGACAAAAAGCACGGGACTCTGAGGATGCAATGTTCCAGTGAAGCCGGAAGATCCTAGTTACGAGTATCAAGTTTTGGGTTGCCCACAGCTCGCCGAGTCCTCGTGAAGCTGCTTGGGCGTAGAGTTTAGTAGTGCCTCTGTGCTCGCTCAATTTTGGCAGACATGAGCGAAACCTCGGCCAGTCATTGAGGATAGCCGAACGGGGCTGCCCAACTGAGAATCAGACACCCGTTGAGGGCATCAAGCAATGGAGCAAACTGCAGAGCGGTTAATAGACCAGACCGCGAGAAGTAAAAGCGGAACTCCGGCACAGATTGGGGACGCCAGGTACTCCTTCGGAAGAGACAGGAAGAAGGATGCCTGGAGTGGCGAGGTGGGCTCTGAGGTTGCAGGGTCTGGCCATGAGCGCTGTGCTTCAGGGCACCCCTGGCCCGGGCTACTATTCCTTGGACTATGCGAACGCGCTGGTCTGTTGGAGCCTTAGGCCTCTTAGGCCTCGCAGGCCCCAGCACAAGCCAGGACGGCTCCACCGGCTCACGGCACCTCTAACCAAGGTGCTTCGGCTGCCAGTATGGGAACTGCTGCTGCGCGGTCACACTGTAGCGACACGTCGGAGGCTGAGGAGCTCACCGAACTGTGATCTGGCTACGTTTGATTACTTCGCCATAGTTGCACTGAATTTGTGTGCTTCTGTGTTGCGTGATGTCGGTGCTCAGACTTCAGGCGGCGAAGCATGAAGAAGGAGAAGAGTGTGTGGAGCTAAGCTTCTCGTCCACGGACATGTGCCGAGTAGCCACTTCAACTAGAGGGGTCGGCCGTGACATTGGTTTGTGTGGCGATGTTGTGGACGACATTATTGGATGTTCATGAGGGTCACTGCAACAATAGCCGTACCATGCTCTGCGCTCTAAGGTATGACTTCCAGCCTTTGTCTTGGCTCACGTTACCCCATGATACCCCATGTCCCTTGGGGGCCGACTGAACCTCAGGATCCCAACACGCACTTGCACGTGATGGAGGCCTGGGTGACTTCGCCCGGTCCTTAGCACCAAGCAGCACCAAGCCCAGTAGCAGCGGTTGCTATGAAAGAGACTGCTTTTGCAAGCGGGCAGACGCTTGCTAGTGACCGGACTCTGAGAGATGTAGATAGGCATCGCCTGGGCAAGGCCCGGCAGCCAAGATCAGTCAAGGGCCAGCGTTCTGTCGACCTCGGCTCTGGCTTATGGGTGGAGGTAAACGCTGGCCCGCTGCCAGTCTGGCAGAAGCATCGCGGAGTACCAGTGCGGAGTTCATGAACAGATCGGCGGCTCAGGCAGGCGTTAGGCTTGTCCTATGCACAACAGCTGCCGGCGGAGGAGCAACAGTGGCGTCGAGTGAACATGCCGCCAAACAAGGCCTCTGGATACATGTCAGGTCTGCCAAGACGACAAAAACAAAGAGTACTCAGTAGTTCCTAAGCTGATGATGAGATTGCCCCACCTGTACAGTGTCGAAAAGATGATGGTTAGTAAAGTTAGTAACACAGACAGCCATCGTGGTTATGCATTTCAACTGTCCAATAGCAAAGGGAATAGGGGAACCATAACAAGGGTTTAAGTCCCGGGTCTTTGTTGCAGTAAATATGTAATAAGAAGAAGCACGATAAACCTCGTAGCAGTCATGACCAGGCAGCTAATTCACGGTGGTTTCGTGAGTCACCAATTATGGCTATAATCTATAGTTGCCACAATCGCATTCGTTATGTGCACCCTAAACCCTAAACCCTAAACCGTTACTGAGGACAGCAGCCGGTCCCAGTCCTCGTATCGGTTTTGGGACAGAGACTCGCGAGGCGCAGGCGGGATCAGCCTCTGCCAGCTAAGCGGCGCAGAGAAGTGCCAGTGTTTTCAGCTGCGCCTCCAGAAGTCGTAGCAAGTTGGAAAAGGCGTGATGATGGCACAGCAGAATGATCAGAATAATGACAGCAAAGGCGTGACTGGCACCGAAGTTCGGGAGAGGGGGGTTGCTCGCACAATCAGGTCTCCGACCTGGAGCTCTTGCGAGCCTGTCCTGAGTCCAGGCTCCCTTTGGATCGCTGGGTGAATTAACGGGAATACAAAGCGGAATATCAAACATGCTGGTCTGTCTGTACTATCTTGCCTTTGTGTACAATGTGCCTACATGTGCCTGTGAGCGTATGGCTGTGAGCGAGGGACACAGAACACTGGTAATGGCACGCTTCATGGAGATTGAGTCCCCCAATGCGCCCAGGTCGGATGTACCAGAATATGCCCGAACACTGCTTGGCTCAAGCGAAACTATCGTGGCACTGCGGCTTGTTTGAGCCAAACCACCCAGAGGCTAGAGGACTCGGTTCTTGCAACAGAGCCCCACAAGAAGGAAGCGCGTCAATGATCATCCACAGACCCAATCATTTTGCCAGAAAATGAGAGCCATTTTCAGCTGTGTATCATGCATGTCTTAGTTTCAGTGACTCGTAAGTCCCTTGACGATGTCTTCGAGAGAGATATCTGTATTAGGGCTAGATGCTGCGCTGCACGTGACTGACGCCCTTTGGAGTATGACTTGTTTTATGCATATTCTTTAAGGTGGATCTTCACGGGGAGTTTACCTTGTCGCTCTTGTTGGCAGATCAATGCGAAACTGCTTGTTTGTCTTTGCTGAGACATGTCCCAATCACAGATGGGAGAATCCGGCGCGGCAAGTCTGGAACGTAATGCTTCCTATACCATATGAAGGGCACCTGGACCGCAGATGGGTCGCTCCCTCTCCTCTTGCCCTTGTGAAAGAAAGATCCAGCTTTCGAGTGAGCGGTTGCTGCAATCCTCATTGCAACTCCGGGTAGGTACGGCTCCGGCCCGGGCCTGGTGTACCACCCGGACTACAGGAATTCCGGGAACGGGTCGACATTTGGGTATTCTCTGGGTTCATGGGGCCCAGCACTGTGCTTGCGAGGAGAGTGCGTCCAGAATCGGCTGGCCGAAGCTTTCCTCGCGACAAGTCTGGCGTGGGCCTGTCGCGGTCTTTCGAGTGTTTTTCAGCAGGCGATGCTCTCCACAAAGGATCAGTAGGGTAAGTGCAGGGAACTTGGCAAGCGACCTGTGATTCCTCACTTTGCACGATCAGCCGTGGCATTTTCACATCATTGCGGTCGTAAATATGTCTGTAGAAATCTTCCATGAAAAAGCACGCTGGTTTGAAGCCACATCTAATGCTCTTCCGAGCCTTTCTCGAGGGTTCGATTGCGATTTGCCGGCCAGGGCCTGGCCAGCAGCGCGGGAGGAACGTCTGGACAAGTGGCACCGTCTTCGTATCAGCACCACGATCAGGAGAGATGTTCATGTTGCAACAGTTTCCGATGTCATCCTGAACGGAAGGCCAAACAGGACCTGTCATGTGGCAAAGGCTCAGCTCGTGCCGGGAGTCTGCTAAGAAGAGCGGAGACGGGTCAAACAGCGACAGCGCGAGTAGGAATCTTCGTGTTAGCGGCAGTTTTACCGGCAAGTACTGAACGGCACCAGTGGTGGGTGGGTGGGGGTGGTGGTGCTCGCAGAAGGTCGCGGAGGTGGTAGTAGTAGAAGTAGTCCTTGGCGTTCTTCTGGTTGGCTCCTAGGACTTTAACTTTTTGGGTTTCGATATGAATTATATATAGGAGACAAGCTTAACTTTCAGGAGGGGTTCAGAAGTCAGCCAGTCGTAGCAGTAGTAAGTAGTAGTCGTCGTCGTCGTCGGCATCGTCGTCGTCGTCGTAGTAGTAGTGGTGGTGTAGTGCTAGTGCTCGTGCTAGTGCCAGTGCTCATTGTGCTAGTAGTGCTCGTAGTAAGAGTAGCAAAGGTAGCAGATGCAGCAATCGGTGGCGCAGTCAGATTCGGAGAAACAGTCAGTAGAAGTCGCCGTCGCGGCCACCGGGCAAAAAGTGCTCAGGTATGGTGAAATAGTTGGTGAAGCACATGCCCGGTGCCTCACATTGTGGGTCCGCTTTCGTAGTTTTCCGCAAGAAAGGCTACTGATTACGATTGCTGACCAGTGTGCGGCTGCAGGAGTCCATCTCCGGAAAGCAGCTTGACTCCCGCAAGAGGACTGTGGCACATACAGTTGGACTCTTGTTGCGATATCATGCAATGCTGGCTCTGATCTTCCGCATCTGCAGGCAGTCTGCCACAATGTTTTATGGTCCATGCAGGACCGGTCCAGCTTTCTCATTCGGGCGGGCTTCTCGCTTCACGGTGCACCCTCCTCTTCATTCAAGTCGGCTGCCTTCACACCCTGGCTGTGTGTTGAGTCCAGGGTATGAACAATTGTAATTTCCCGCGCTGCTGGTATACTGCCTTGCTTTGCAACCTTTGCAACTACTTGCCGAACGTGGAAAGGAATCTGCAGGAGCACGTTGCCTGGGGAAGCATGCAGCCGTTTTGACAAACACCGAGAAGGGACTCGTGATTGACTCTTTCCGCAAGCACAGTGGTAGCACATGATTTTGGAGTGACAGTCCTGGGCTGCTCTGCCCTGCTGTCGCAGCTTCTGGCCCAGCAGTTGCAGCTACCTGGAAGCCTGAACAATTGCCGACCTAGCGGACTCTACTTGCGAGCTTATGTAACTTAGTAGATTCTTAGAAGATGCTTACAAGACCGCATCATGACATAAGAACGACCTAGCAGCTTATGCCTGTTGGAAACGCAATCATGCTGCGTAGCTGCTTAACGCATGTAACGCAACGAGTGCAACTGGGGCCATAAATAAAGGGCTAATGAACAGCCACGACAGCCTAATCTGAGCGTATCATGACAATGCAGTGGAGTCAGCCATTGCGCTGCCGCAGAACTTGATGCAGGCGTGATTCGGGGGAGTTTTTTGTTTTTTTCCGGGTATGCGTATCGGAGCTTGCTCGATCGAGTTTGTTAAGCGGGGTTTCTGAATTTCGTAAGATGGAGCTTCTTCGGAAGCAAACACCTGCGATGGACTAGCTAGAACTCGTCTGCTCAACGTCTTCATCGGATTTGCCAGGCAGCGCCGCCCAAGCCTTGGGAGAGGAACGGCAGGCCGGCCTGAGAGAGGCACCGACACTGACAACCGGCCTGACGTGTCTCGTGTTTCGGCAGGCGTCTTGTGTCTTCTACCTCCCCACCAGTCGCTGCATCTGCCAGCCGCGATCTTGGCGCACTCTTCTCTTTCTGCGTTGTCGTTGAGGCACAGTTTTGACATGTTGTGGCGATGCAGCGGATAATAGTATGGTGCTCGTGCCCCATGCACTAGCGGCATCATCACAGTTTCTGGGCCGGACTTTCTCATTCCGAGTGAGCGACATGACGAAACAGCCACGTGCGTGAGGCACCCCGGTGGCTCCGGCTGCTGACACAACAGCCACGCCTGCTGCAGCTGCCACTAGCACGCCGTCAACGCCCAAGAGACCGGACTGGAAGTGACAGAGAGCTGTGCTGTAAACTGTAAACACAAGTCTAACACTACGCGGTCCGCCTCGGCCTGACTGTGGCGGCAGCATGTGTCTCTGAGTCTTCAGCTCAGGGACTGCGTCTCGAAATTGGACCATATTGGACCCCAAAAGCGGGTGTCACTTTGGGGCTGCAGGGAGGCGGATTCGGTGGTGGATACTAAGTGTCGGATTCATGTTGCTTGTGTGTGTATAACTGTTTGGGATAGGCCATGTGAGCCAAGAAGTCTGGTTAGAAGCAGTACCAGTACCTGAG